ATTAACTGAACAAAGCAGCAAGTAACAAAAAATTCAGATAAAAAAGCAAGTGCACTGCAAAGCATCTAATTGCCTACGCAAAAATGCTAGTACAGTTCCATATATCTTACTGAGGATTATAACTACAACCTATGTGACAAAATCATGCTAATTGACATAAGAACTGGAATTGAATAGCAATTATTCCTTACTACTATAAGAACTAACTACATTAATATCAGTATCCATTTGACGCATTTCTCAAATGATATTTTCCCATTCAGTATCCAGTGCTTAAAGGTTTATAAAATTAAGGGTATTGATACTGGGCTGTTGCTGAAAGACATTGACTTTACTCCTTGCCGCTCCAAAAAGATATTCATGGTTTCGACAGTACAAATCAAAGCACCAAAGCAGTCGTACTCACTCAATATATCAAGATGTGTTATCCATGAAAATGAAATGCTTTACAATAACTTACTGATAAGGAAATTGACATACAACTGTCATCCAATAAGTGAACACAGCAAGAGACATCAGTAATGCATGTGTTGCTTCCGAAAACTCTTCCTTTGCTAGAGCCCAGAAAACTCAGGATAATTGACATTTTTCGACAATTATTTCTTTCATCTTCACTTTTTGATGACGTACTGACTTTCCGAGGAAGCGACATTTTAGTGTCAATAAAGAAAACCCTTAACAACTAGTTGTTATTAGGTTTTCGTGTAAGCTGTGAGCAAGCTAACTCCAAATATAGATGAAAGATCCCTTGCAAACTTGGCGCGAAAGTTTACCAAACCTCTAAATGAGTCTGAGAAAGAAGAAAACAACGATTGAAAGATTAAAAGGCAAAAGGAGATCAATGAGATTCATCAATCGAAGCGAATATTAAAACTTATGACTTATGAAAGGAAAACACGTTTGTCTGCAAAGTGAGTTTGAGCACCTACCCGGTTAGCATTTACTTCAGGCACACTTTGTAAGTTATGGGTAAAAACACAAAAATTTAACTTTGGGCTAGAATGGGGAAACACGATATTCTCATAAATTTTCAAACCTTTTCCTCAAAATTATCGGTCCTTCTAAAATGAGCCAAAATATTTCAAATTTGATAAGTGCGTCTAAAGTAGGTGCGGACTAAAACCTGAAGTTTACAAAGTGCTCCCGAAGTAAATGCCGGTTGGGTATGGTGTCGAGAAGTGTCAAAAATATACTAAAGACAAAACTCAAACTTTACTCACCTTCGGAAAGTAGCAGTGAGTAACAGATTCGAAATATTGCAACGCTGAAACTCCAAATGGACTAGTTTAACTCCAGAAAGGTGTCTAAGAATGACTTTTGAATATGTACTAAATTACCACTACAATCTTAACCTTCAAAGCTGTAACGTAAAACAAAACTGAGGTTTCCGTTTGCAATCTTGAAAGATAAAAATACTTTATCGGGTTACTGGCGAACTTTATTGTGGCTGTAATGCTTGGTGTGTAATATATCTTCACTGAATAATTGATGAGCCTTTTGAAGGGGCTACAAGCTTCCAACTGCATTAGCAGCTCATAATTTTCAGTCTGCTACAGTATTCATGCTGTGGCTTGTAACAACTTTGAAGAAACTTAGCTAAAAGTCTCTAGAAAGAAGTACGTCATCATCTAACTAGTCACGTTAACTACCATGAGCGATGAGCATGACGACAATACTGTGTGGTATTTCTAATAAACAGATTAAAATGGAAATACTTGCTGCATTGCGGTGAACTATTGGCCTCTGAATACTCAATCTTCCTTTCCCTTTGTTCTGCCTTGTCTAATTTTCGATAAAAAAGATAGAGAATTTTTATTGAATTCTTTGTAGTGGCTCATTAGCTAGTCTAGAATGTCCCACCAACCGCCAACGGCTCCTGAAATGCTGTGGCAAACCTATTAATCTATTCGACTTTTTCACCGGAGTTAAAGCTTTCTCACCGAAATGTTTGCAGCCCAGTTATTGTTATTTCAGGTCATACCAAGTTCTCCGGTGGGGGAACAACGTAGCTCGCCATAAGTGACCTGCGGTCTGCAGTATGATAAATGCAAGAGGTACCAAAACAAGCATTCAAACCTTGAGTCTGCAACATTCAACGGCTTAAAAATACAGAACTTATCTGGATTTTTAAGTCATGTCGCTCGTAATACCATTAATGATCGAAGTTGATTGACTTCTGAATTCAAGCACGAAGAAGTTAGTCCCTGCAATTAATTCAATGACATACATTGTTTGATATATGAATATCCATGTATGCCATTCACCACTTTCCCGTGTCATCGACGTAATGGCCTAGTTGAACGTTCAGAACTAATCAGGGTAGATGTTGAGTAGGGAAGAACAGTTTCTGTGAAAACTTGATGCCTTCTACGTCTCTCTGAAGAACTGTCGGATATCTTACGTTTACAATTGAGGAACCTGGTCCCGATGGCATGATTGAATAAGGACTACAGACTACGAAGGAAACCCCATCAAAATACAGATACCTTAGGAGATTTGTCAGCCAGTATGCCATAAATCTGAGGGTAAACGAATCGTCTACGCTACTGCAGAGAGGTAAGGAGTACACGCCTATCTTCCATGAGGAACTGAAAGGTTTCATTAGGTTTTCGTGTAGCTTGCCCATAACACGTTTCTAAAGATAAACCAAAGACCGCTTGCAATCCTGACTACGAGTGCACTTCTCCAACATACCACATTTCGCAACAGAATGCTAGTTAGGACTAGTTAGAAAATGCTACATCAAGGTAGACAAAAGTGCATTAGGACACACATTGTAAAAGAACTCGAAAACAACAAATGGTGAATACATCTGCGCCATTGTAACAGATTGCCAGCCGCCTCACAAACAGTCTTCAACCATTGATTGCCTTGACTCTGATGACTCCATTTGACCAATGTACACCTTTCGACATGGTGGAGACCAATGATCAGGCTTCATGGACTGGTGCCAATCCTTGTTCTGGCCACACTCATCCTTATTTCAACACGGTCATACGTCCTCCCAGATTGCTCGTTGAAGTGGGTGGTGACTTTGCATGTGCAATGACGAATCAAAACACCTCAGTCAGTAGAGATTCACAACTTCGTTAAGTAGCTTGCTTCATGTGTCCAATACCTCACACCTAACCTCGCTGTTCATCACATGGGGACTTTAACGGGTCGGAGCAACACCACGAAGAAATCTCTGATCTAAGTCTCGTGGTATCCTCATGTCCTCCACTTTCAAACGTCATGTCTCACAGCCACATTATAATACAAAGTAGATTTCAGCACGACGTAACCATCCTTTCGTAGGCGGTCGGATGCCACACTGGTGCCAGAGATAATGTATATTGCCAAATGTCAGAAGAAACTATTGAATCCGAGCTGAGATTTTTCAGCTAAGCGAAGTGATCAGCGCTTCCCATAACCTAAATACCCATCTATAATTGGCTCTGGCTGCATAAAAATCGCAAAGCATCATTCTAAACTTGACAGATGCAAAATGCAAGCCAAAGTTGTCGATTTCTCGCTTTAGCCACTTAGAACTCCTTGATCTTCCACTTGTCCTGTCAGATGTATCAATGTGTCATGCTTCCTCGTGTATCGTTGGATGAATGCCCAAAGTACTTCCACGAAAAAGATCTAGGCAACCCACATAGTGAAAGATTCTGATGGAAAGATGCTTAACTTATGATGACTAATGGTGCTGTTTTACGGCTGAAATCAAAACTGGCTGATATTCGTTTGTAGCTAAAATCATATAGGTTGATGATAAAAAGTCATAAGACGTTTTAATATGCCCCCTTCTTTTGTAGAAAAATGTACACAATACCGGTCCACGAATTCACTCACAGTTTTAAACCCCAATGCGTTAGATTACATGATACCGAGTTACCCAATGATGGGCTACGAAAATGTGTTTATTTCAAGAAATTTAACTAAGGGGATGTGGTGCTTTTTAAGAAGTTAGAAATAGGCAAAAACAGGCAAGTAGCGATAAAGGATGCAAATCGGTGGCAAATTACAGTCATAAAGATCAACTCCCCGGTAGCGTTATTAATTACGATTCGAATAACTCCTGATTGTATTACATTGCTGAGTAACTAAAGTAGAGGGTGGTTGATGAAATTTCCGTTGGAATCAACCGGATCACTATTGAATAACCGACAATTTTTGTTCTCACCTGAAGAAATGAATTTGTCTTCCTGATTGTGAGTGTGGAAACCTGATATGAAAGCAATCGGTTCCAAATATTTTATGCGAAATCAGAGTATCAGTCCTCCATTTTTAGCGTCAACTAATTACCACAGTTAGAAAGAATAGCTGCCTAATAAAATAAAAATATATATCGTTACATAGCTTAACTTCGCAACAATCATCCATTATAGAGAGAAGCTACAAAAAGGCGCTATTTCCCCTTAGATGTACTTAACAATTCAGAAAGCTCGAAAAAAACGTAAGAAATTAGCATACAATATCGGAAAAACAAGCTTTTAAATGGCAAGTGAATCTTGACATTTCCTAAATCGAGTGGACAGTCTTCACCCTTCTATTGATTAACTGAACAAAGCAGCAAGTAACAAAAAATTCAGATAAAAAAGCAAGTGCACTGCAAAGCATCTAATTGCCTACGCAAAAATGCTAGTACAGTTCCATATATCTTACTGAGGATTATAACTACAACCTATGTGACAAAATCATGCTAATTGACATAAGAACTGGAATTGAATAGCAATTATTCCTTACTACTATAAGAACTAACTACATTAATATCAGTATCCATTTGACGCATTTCTCAAATGATATTTTCCCATTCAGTATCCAGTGCTTAAAGGTTTATAAAATTAAGGGTATTGATACTGGGCTGTTGCTGAAAGACATTGACTTTACTCCTTGCCGCTCCAAAAAGATATTCATGGTTTCGACAGTACAAATCAAAGCACCAAAGCAGTCGTACTCACTCAATATATCAAGATGTGTTATCCATGAAAATGAAATGCTTTACAATAACTTACTGATAAGGAAATTGACATACAACTGTCATCCAATAAGTGAACACAGCAAGAGACATCAGTAATGCATGTGTTGCTTCCGAAAACTCTTCCTTTGCTAGAGCCCAGAAAACTCAGGATAATTGACATTTTTCGACAATTATTTCTTTCATCTTCACTTTTTGATGACGTACTGACTTTCCGAGGAAGCGACATTTTAGTGTCAATAAAGAAAACCCTTAACAACTAGTTGTTATTAGGTTTTCGTGTAAGCTGTGAGCAAGCTAACTCCAAATATAGATGAAAGATCCCTTGCAAACTTGGCGCGAAAGTTTACCAAACCTCTAAATGAGTCTGAGAAAGAAGAAAACAACGATTGAAAGATTAAAAGGCAAAAGGAGATCAATGAGATTCATCAATCGAAGCGAATATTAAAACTTATGACTTATGAAAGGAAAACACGTTTGTCTGCAAAGTGAGTTTGAGCACCTACCCGGTTAGCATTTACTTCAGGCACACTTTGTAAGTTATGGGTAAAAACACAAAAATTTAACTTTGGGCTAGAATGGGGAAACACGATATTCTCATAAATTTTCAAACCTTTTCCTCAAAATTATCGGTCCTTCTAAAATGAGCCAAAATATTTCAAATTTGATAAGTGCGTCTAAAGTAGGTGCGGACTAAAACCTGAAGTTTACAAAGTGCTCCCGAAGTAAATGCCGGTTGGGTATGGTGTCGAGAAGTGTCAAAAATATACTAAAGACAAAACTCAAACTTTACTCACCTTCGGAAAGTAGCAGTGAGTAACAGATTCGAAATATTGCAACGCTGAAACTCCAAATGGACTAGTTTAACTCCAGAAAGGTGTCTAAGAATGACTTTTGAATATGTACTAAATTACCACTACAATCTTAACCTTCAAAGCTGTAACGTAAAACAAAACTGAGGTTTCCGTTTGCAATCTTGAAAGATAAAAATACTTTATCGGGTTACTGGCGAACTTTATTGTGGCTGTAATGCTTGGTGTGTAATATATCTTCACTGAATAATTGATGAGCCTTTTGAAGGGGCTACAAGCTTCCAACTGCATTAGCAGCTCATAATTTTCAGTCTGCTACAGTATTCATGCTGTGGCTTGTAACAACTTTGAAGAAACTTAGCTAAAAGTCTCTAGAAAGAAGTACGTCATCATCTAACTAGTCACGTTAACTACCATGAGCGATGAGCATGACGACAATACTGTGTGGTATTTCTAATAAACAGATTAAAATGGAAATACTTGCTGCATTGCGGTGAACTATTGGCCTCTGAATACTCAATCTTCCTTTCCCTTTGTTCTGCCTTGTCTAATTTTCGATAAAAAAGATAGAGAATTTTTATTGAATTCTTTGTAGTGGCTCATTAGCTAGTCTAGAATGTCCCACCAACCGCCAACGGCTCCTGAAATGCTGTGGCAAACCTATTAATCTATTCGACTTTTTCACCGGAGTTAAAGCTTTCTCACCGAAATGTTTGCAGCCCAGTTATTGTTATTTCAGGTCATACCAAGTTCTCCGGTGGGGGAACAACGTAGCTCGCCATAAGTGACCTGCGGTCTGCAGTATGATAAATGCAAGAGGTACCAAAACAAGCATTCAAACCTTGAGTCTGCAACATTCAACGGCTTAAAAATACAGAACTTATCTGGATTTTTAAGTCATGTCGCTCGTAATACCATTAATGATCGAAGTTGATTGACTTCTGAATTCAAGCACGAAGAAGTTAGTCCCTGCAATTAATTCAATGACATACATTGTTTGATATATGAATATCCATGTATGCCATTCACCACTTTCCCGTGTCATCGACGTAATGGCCTAGTTGAACGTTCAGAACTAATCAGGGTAGATGTTGAGTAGGGAAGAACAGTTTCTGTGAAAACTTGATGCCTTCTACGTCTCTCTGAAGAACTGTCGGATATCTTACGTTTACAATTGAGGAACCTGGTCCCGATGGCATGATTGAATAAGGACTACAGACTACGAAGGAAACCCCATCAAAATACAGATACCTTAGGAGATTTGTCAGCCAGTATGCCATAAATCTGAGGGTAAACGAATCGTCTACGCTACTGCAGAGAGGTAAGGAGTACACGCCTATCTTCCATGAGGAACTGAAAGGTTTCATTAGGTTTTCGTGTAGCTTGCCCATAACACGTTTCTAAAGATAAACCAAAGACCGCTTGCAATCCTGACTACGAGTGCACTTCTCCAACATACCACATTTCGCAACAGAATGCTAGTTAGGACTAGTTAGAAAATGCTACATCAAGGTAGACAAAAGTGCATTAGGACACACATTGTAAAAGAACTCGAAAACAACAAATGGTGAATACATCTGCGCCATTGTAACAGATTGCCAGCCGCCTCACAAACAGTCTTCAACCATTGATTGCCTTGACTCTGATGACTCCATTTGACCAATGTACACCTTTCGACATGGTGGAGACCAATGATCAGGCTTCATGGACTGGTGCCAATCCTTGTTCTGGCCACACTCATCCTTATTTCAACACGGTCATACGTCCTCCCAGATTGCTCGTTGAAGTGGGTGGTGACTTTGCATGTGCAATGACGAATCAAAACACCTCAGTCAGTAGAGATTCACAACTTCGTTAAGTAGCTTGCTTCATGTGTCCAATACCTCACACCTAACCTCGCTGTTCATCACATGGGGACTTTAACGGGTCGGAGCAACACCACGAAGAAATCTCTGATCTAAGTCTCGTGGTATCCTCACGTCCTCCACTTTCAAACGTCATGTCTCACAGCCACATTATAATACAAAGTAGATTTCAGCACGACGTAACCATCCTTTCGTAGGCGGTCGGATGCCACACTGGTGCCAGAGATAATGTATATTGCCAAATGTCAGAAGAAACTATTGAATCCGAGCTGAGATTTTTCAGCTAAGCGAAGTGATCAGCGCTTCCCATAACCTAAATACCCATCTATAATTGGCTCTGGCTGCATAAAAATCGCAAAGCATCATTCTAAACTTGACAGATGCAAGATTCACCTGATTATTATTAACCCTCATCCAGTATTTTTGTCTTTCTTGGACACTTCAAAGTGAAGAAAATCTTTACCACCGTCAATATTTTTGTTGCTGCCACATTTTATGGTTATTATTTAGTTCCAGGTTAATGATACGTGCATAGGTATTGAACCTTTTTCTGAAAGTCATTTCAGACTTTCATTAAATATTTCCTCATGAGGGTTAATCATATGACCTCAGTGATAACTATTGAGATCAGCGGGAATATATCGCAACAGCCAAGCTTTCCTTCATTGTATGGTTGAAAGACAGGAGACTTCATCACGCCATACAAATCTTTGAGCAGTGACTATGATCTCGGTTTTATTTCCTGTATCCCCCTCACTATGTTGGAAAAAGTCGGCGGACACAGTGAGAGTGCAAATGATTAAGATGGAAGCTTTTTACGTGGACTTCTCGTTTTAACCTTAACATATCAGTTCTTGGAACTAGCTTCTGAAAGCCGCAGTGCTCACATTGCCAGATGGCTCCTTCAAGAGGGGACTGAATAAACATGGACGTCCATTAGAACCGATTAAGTATTGGCTCACGGCTTTCCAGCCCTTAACATGCATCTGACCAAAGGTTTAGCGGTACTGACTGCATACAATAATCTTCATTTGGCTCCGCTGAAACACCAAGATCTTTGCGTAGGAGTCGTCTGGCCAGGTCCCGGTGCATGGCTTTTCAGACCCAATGCGGCCTGAAAATACAAGGAGAGGTGATCAAACCGCTAGGTAGGGCTTACCAGGAAGCTGTAGGGAGCCGAATGAGCCCAAAATTCCACCCTACGGCAAGTCACCGCTGACTTTTTCCCAAGTCCGAAGTCGTTTAACTTTAGTTTACCGCGTTCTTTTGCCAAAAGCGTCTCTTATCCTGTCTCTTGTTTTCTCATCATTACTTGCAACTCGACGGCGCAACTGGAAGAGACGGATGACGGAAACTATTTCAAGTCACGCCGAAATTGGTGCGTGCTGTTTCCTAAAGTTCAACTGCATCAGCGGATACGACCAAATCTTATCTTTTCTGATCCGTTTTGTATATCAGGTGGGAGTTTGTTCTACCTGACATATTTCAGAACCACGTGTCGGACGAAGTTGCGCGGCAGCACGGCGACACCAAGCAAGTGACGGCTTTACACCTAGTGCCTGTCCATCCTTCGCACCGCGGTTGTCGCCATGGCCCAATGCAGCTCAGCGATTACGACTATTTAACTACTATAGTAAATATCAACAGCAAATGTAAACGCTTTACGGGTGGGTTTTGAGCCTGTACTCATAACTCTGCGTCCAGACGATGCCTATTATAATTATTACTCCTAGTATTATAATGGTTATTTGTCTATTGGATACAGAGTGGAAGACAAGGCTTCAGTAGCACGTCTCCATTGCACTCTCTTCTCTGCAGTCTTTTCAACCTGGCTCCACGACTGTCCACAAGCTTTCATTTCTTCCTCACACGATCTCTTCCATGTCACCCCTGCCTCAGACGCCGAGCTCGCTGTTTCCCTTTTCGGTTCCACTTGAGAGCCTGGAGTGTGATATCCCCGAATGGTCTTCTCAGTGTATGCCCAATCCATCTCCACTTTCTGCTTCTGCATATTTGTTGGGCGATGGGTTCTTGGTTGGTTCGTTGCCAGCCAGAGTTCCTTGTTGCTTATTCCTATTATTCCGGCCATATGACCAGATATTCAATATCGAGTGGGCGTGGGCGGCAGCCGAATGCCTGTAGTTTGTTGGAAATGCCTTTCACAACGCGCCAAGTTTCTGAACCATCGCATAGAAGCACTGGCTTGATGTCGGTGTTGAAAACCCGGATCTTGTTCACGCTTTATGCTGAGTGCAGTAGATCTCCACACTGATTTCAGATTAATGAAGGCTTGTCTTGGGTTTCCGATCTTGGCTTTGGCATCCTCATCTGTACCATCTGTAGTTTGAACGGTTCTGCCTAGGTGGGTGAAAGAGACTACTTCCTTTAGGTTTCTCCCGTTGATGGTGATCGGTGCTTGTTGTTGTTGGTTGGGTATCTTCATCACCTCTGTCTTGTCCACGTTCACCTAAAGTCCCATATTCGCTGCCCTGCCTCTTCTGTCAACTTGTCAGTTTGCGCCTGTAGATCTTCAAGTTTATGTGACATCAGACACAAGTCATCGGTGAAATCCAAATCTTCCGGGCTCTTTTCATCGGTTCAGTCAGCGTATGCCCATCTTCTCACAGCTCCTCACAATTTGCTGCATGATCCAGTCAACCGCATTCAGGAAGATCAAAGGTGTGGATAGTAGGTGGCAGCCTTGTCTTACTCCTGTCTCCACTTCAAAGGCATCGCTGAGCTTCCCACTGTGAATTACTTGGCATGTAGCATCATGTAGCATATAGTTGTTGAATGAGGTTGATAAAGGTTTGTGGCACTGAAACCGTAGTTTTGAAGGAGGCAGCTGCCTGCCAAGTTACCTCTCGGTTGACGCTGTCGAAGGCTTTTTCAAAATGGATGAAGTTGGAGTAGAGAGTTGACTGCCACTCTATACTCTGTTCTATGATGATGTGTAGCGTAGCGTTGCAATTCGATCTGCACATGATTTGTTTTTCTTGGAGTCAGCCAGCCAGCCAGCCAGCCAGCCAGCCGGCCTGTTTGAGTCGTAGTTTCGAATCCAGAGCAGTTTTACCACTCTCCAGGATGATTTAGCTCAATATTTTGCTTAGGGTGGACAGGGACGGGTCATGATTCTGCGCCAGTCCCTGTAAAGCCTCACTCCTCCCTTCTTTGGAGGTTTGACAAGGTGGCCCTTCTTCCAATAAATCAGCAGCTTCCTTTCCTT